ATTTCATCAAAAATGCATCATGGCTGGCGAAGTTTGAACGATTGCGCCCAAAAGCAGCGATACCAAAGAAGATTGGAGAATGAGAACAAGACCCGCCTTGTGTGTCAAAGTGATTCCGCTTAGTAGTGAGTCTCTGAGACTGTCTTGTTCCAAATATGGTTTTGCTATTTTACTTGTTTATGAATTAAACCACTATTTCAATGATTTCTATTCTATGTTCAAATGAAAATAGAACAACATTGTCAATTACAGAGTTGTAGCAAATGAAAAAATATGTACTATTACCCTTTAATGAATTTCTGAAATATCAAGTGGATTCTTGAAACAGTATCATATATGACAGGTAAGTGCTCCACTATCTAAAACACAAGGGACAGCAGTGCATAACATGAATGAAATATAGAAGGGGTTGAATGTGCAGTTAGGTTAGCAACTTGGATATGGAAATGATCTGATTTAATAGAAAATATCAAATGCTATTAAATGAAACTGCAAAACCTCAGGAGACAAGTCTGGTATATCTCTGATGATGGATGGGTTGGTTGCTCAAAAATAGTTGAAAGAATTTTGTTAATAAAGAAAATTCCTCCAGTAGAGAAATTTATTGTTTTGTTATATTTTTTAAACAAATTTGAGATGTTTCCATATTAATTAGGAATGGTAAAACATTTAACAAGTAATAAAACTAAAATTATTTTAGAAAAATATTTTTATTAATTTAAGCTTTACTGTAAGACTTTAGATTAGATTAAACATTGATTGATTTGTATACAATGTACGTATATTTTACAGGTTGGGGGCCATAAAAGTGTTATTAATGATATAGCCTGGCAAACAGAAACAGATTCCTTATTTTCTTGTTCTAGTGATCAGTATATTGTCCAATGGGAGTTATCTTCGCATAAAATCAAATAGTAAGTTTTAATAATATGTAACATATATTAAAATTATTTATTTGTTTAATTGAGTTTGTCGTAAGATATGGGAATATAGAACATAAAACAAATTCATAATACATTCAACTTTGGGTTGTAACCATATTGATTCACTTTAAATAAAAATTTGCATAAAGCTACTTGAAATGCTGGTCAATTACTCTCCAAAAACTGGAAGGACTTATGTAAATGACATCACTTAAAACCAGCACAATAGGGTATATGACAACTGGGTGATTCACAATGGGTGACAGTTAACTGGATGACAGAAACTTAAAAATATTTGCATGCTTAGCATGTATACGATTTTGTGGTTATTTTTTAAATTTATTTTTTGTAAATAATGGTAAAAAATATATATATATATATATATATAATTTACCTTACTTTAGTCTTAACTATATATATAGTTAAGACTTGTGAGGTATGAGTTATAAATTATTTCCAACTTAGGAAAAGGAAACATTTTGTACATACCATAGTATCGTTAATTATTGTATATCACAGGTGTGACCAAACTTTTATCCCTTAGGGGCTACTTTTTTGGTAAAATATAATCTGTGGGTGGCTATGAATATGGGCAAACAATTTTAGGATTTTTATATGCGCATGCGTTAACATTCGTTTGCATTGTTCATCGGGATAAATACAAACAGTATGGGTACATTGCACAGACTGTCTATTATTGTAAGAATAAATTATCAAATTAAGATTTTTAAACATTAATTTAAGTGAAAGCAAATTGTTCAACTTTAGCTTTGCGGGCTACTTTCAAAACCTTTGCGGTCGACCGCGGTCTACGTGTTGGCCATCCCTGGTATATCAGAATTGGTTAACAAAGCAAATCAAAGAAAAGCAGTTCTTTGAAGAACTTTTATACTTTTAATTTATATTGTATTTAATGTATAATGTAATGTATTTTTAATTTTATATAATTGTCATCTTTGTTTTTATGTATATTTGTTAATTTTGGGATAGATATCAACTGTCCTTTAAGACTTTTTTATTTATTTGTAAAAATAAATAGCAAGTAGCATGTATAAATATGTTTGTTAATTACAAAACCATTCTTTTAACTCATTTCTTAAAAATATTATTTAAATTTACCAGGTAGTAGATCAATAGAAAAGAATGGTGATTTTAATAAAGAAAACAAAAAATTTTGTATTTTGTCTGTTATTCATCTCTGTCACCCAGATGTCTGGTAACCAGTTAGCAGTAGCCCAGTTGTCCATCACCCACTCGCCATTGCCCAGTTAATAGTGTCCCACAGAATACTTTTTATTTTGGGTAATGCCATTTAATACTTAATGAAAAATACTCTTCATTTACTATTAAGCAATGTACAATATATACAGACATCTTTAGATAAAATATGTAGAAAGCTGAATAAATTTGTTCATTTAGTTCTTCTTTTTATATATTTTACCTGAAGATGTCTATTACAGACAAAAATGTTAGTAATACTAGACAAAGTTGAGATCTTTGTTCTAAGAAAGAAAAATTACTAAATAAAAAGCAAAAACTCACCAATAAAATAATCAAATAGTAAAATTAAAGATAACCTCAGACAGAACTCTACTATTAAAATTGTATATATAAATAAAATGCATAATGATTAAATAAATTTCTTTGTTTTAAATTGAGTTTCTGAATGAAGAAACTTATTTGTTATTTATGATATTTTTACATTTTTTTAAAAAACTGTCTTGGATGGATATTTTGTATTGTATTGTTTTCTTCAACTTGAGCATACTGAATATGATATTAAATTTTTAATGAGACTCTGTAATATCATAATACAGTAGAGCATCAATTATCCGAATCAATTGGGGACTGGGGTTGTTCAGAAGATCGATGTTTCGGATAACTGATTATGTACAAAAAATATATTAATTTATCCCATCTTGACATTTTTCTTCGTTGCGTGTTGCTTTGCGTCAAATTTTCGTCGATGTTAAGCGTAACAAAGACTATTGTATCATTAAAAATTATTTTTTTATTTTGTACGAACAAAATAAATATATTGAAAAATATAAAAATAATAAAAAATTATACTTCATAAGTTAATTTAGTATCAAAAACATAAAATATTCAAGTAGCCCAAGACATAGCCAAAGATTGCAGCGCCACAGCACTGGCAAAAATTTTAATTTGCCAACTGGAATTCTTTCGGATGATTGACTTTCAGATAATCAACGCTCTACTGTAGATATTTTTATAAGATAAAATTTTTCTTTATATATTTGTAAAAATTTCATTTTTACAGTAATTTTTACAAAACCATTCTTTTAACTCATTTCTCAAAAATAATATTTAAATTTACCGGGTAGTAGATCAATAGAAAAGAATGGTGATTTTAATAAAGAAAACAAAAAATTTTGTATTTTGTCTGTTATTCATCTCTTTAATCCAGAAATACATATTTATAATTATATTCATTATCACACATTATTAATAAACAGATATCTAAAATGAAAAATATTTCAATTAATAAATTTTTAAGTTGATGTTGTAAGAGTTATTTACAAGTATTTGAAATTGGATCTTATTTCATGAATTTATTGCTTGCTTTTTTTCTACCAATTATTTTCATGTCTTTACTGTTGTTTGCTGAAACTGATTGTATAGTAATTTGAATACTTTTCCAATTAATGTTATTGCTTGATAAATTTCTATCAAGAGAAAAACTATTATCAGGCAAAATAAAGAAAAGAAAAGCAAAATAAGAGGGAGATTATTTTGATATGCGTTCCCTATTATGTTTTTAACTTATTATCTATTTTTATGATTCCTATTTTGATTCAGTTATATTTCACTGATTTGAATCAAATATGAGTTGCATATATTATGAATATTGTGACATATAAAAGTATGATTTAACAATTTTTTAATATCTTTTACTATAAATAACAGTTTTTTATTATCTTTGAGTTACTTTGAATAAAAGTATTTTTTTAAATAAATTTATTTAAAAAAATACTTTTATTCAACTGTAAATACTTTTACAGTAGGTTAATAATAATTTCTTAATGTGAATACACAAACACATATATTTATACATACTTTTCTTTTTAAATATAGTAAATGGAAAGCTGATAGACATAGCATATATTCTATATGTTTAGTAGATGAAAATACTCTTCTTTCAGCAAGTTCTAATATAAAATGCTGGGATCTTAAAAATAAAGTTATTTTGAAGGTAAATACACGTTATATATTATTAATTATAATATATTATTGTATAGTAAATATTTCAGTTATTTATCAAAGAATTTGAAATAAATGAAACTTAATAGAAATAAAGTTAGATACCTGTATTTAATGTGAAGTATCCTTGATTTGCTCTTGAATGATTACAATTTATTGAAGTAACAAGAAAACAACATTATTTGAATAATTTTAATTATTATTATATTTCAAAAAATAAATACTGAAATATTCACAATTGTTAAGTGGAAAATAACCTTTTGAATAAATGTATATATGTTACCAGCAAAGTATGAAAAGCCAGTATTTTGTAGAATACCTAGGCATTGTATATAATGCCTGGCATTTTTTTATGAAATTTGAGAATTATTACATACTTTCCCTAGGCATTGTATATAATACCTAGGTATTCTGTAGAATGACAAATGCTATTTAGGCAAAGTATGAAAAAGGGTCCTGATAAGGCTATTATATAAATGACTTGCATTCCTCAAAAATACAAATGTTGTTCTGAAAAATTAATGAGAGTGCCATTAAAAAAAATTTATTCAAAATATGTAAAGAAAAATGTTGTATGTTGTACAAAACAAAATTTATGTTTTTCTTATTAAGGTAAACAAAATTTTCATATAAAAAGAATAAGAAAATTAACCTACTTGTTGCAACATGGTAGGCTTGAATGATATTTTGAATTACATTTCACTACATTTTTCACGCAAAGACATTTCATATTTTGGCACTTTGTTTTACACATACATTTGACGAATCCTTGGCCGCTTCCACTGGACTGAGCAATTGCAACTGACTGGAGAGGAATTTTATGGTCAGGAATACCTTCAATTCTAAGCAAGTTCTTACGGCATAAAGTGAATTGTGATCATGCATATACTTGTTTTAAAATTCCTTCAGAAGTTCCAAGTTAGTAGAAACCATCCTCTGTCACACTCATTACAACTGCCAATATATTGTGTGAATCACCTCGCACCTTGTCAATGTCAGGAATAGGAACTTGCACAGTAGTTCCCAAAGAAGCAGTGGGAAAGTTTTTTTTTTTTCAAATTCATTTTCATGTGAAGGGCCATTTGAATGCATTTCATGACCATGACCAAAATAACATTTTCGGCCATTTGAAATGGCCGAAAATGTTAGTTTTTTGTTAAAGTTTCTTGCTGAAATTTAAAGTTGGTATGTAGGTATTATAATTTTAATTTTCTTATATTTATTATTTTACTTTCATGTTTATTTACATTCAGAAATTTGTTGGTCATGCTACAGAAGTATTTTGTTTGCTTCACGTTGGACTTGGTGAAAAATTGAACAAAGAAACAAGTGAAGGAAATTATTTCTTTTCTTCTGCTATTAATGACAGAATTGTCAATGTTTGGTGAGTACTAAATTTCAGTTAATAATAATACAGAAAAATTGAGTATTTATTTAATATTATATGTATGAATTAACATTATGCTCTAAGGTAAAAAATCTTTCATGAAATTTTTATTACATCATTCATATTAAAATTTTAGTTCCACAAGAAATTATTCAAAAATTGGGCATTTTTTAATATTTTTGTTGTACACACAAATAAGCATTAATTGTTAATTTGTATTTTTTTAAAATTGAATGTTAGCATAAATGGTTGCATATTTAATAAAAAAAAAAGTTGAATTTTTTCCATTAGTTGCAGAGATTTATCTTAAATAATCATTATGCATTTGTAATTTTGAAAATATTAGGAAATAAACAATAAATTAGAATGTTTAATTATAAATTTGCTATTAGAAGTGCACATTAATTTTTTTCATAAGAAATAATGTATTTTTTAAATAATAAGAAAATATTATTAAAAATAATCAGTTTAAAAAGTTTTCAAATTTGAATAGAAACTTATGCCTTCAGTCATTGAAAAATTTATGAATAAATTGAAAAATATTATTATACTGGTTCATAATAATGATAAAATATTTTGAGAAAGATTTAATAGTTGTTTTCATTTTTCTGCCAGATTTACACCTAAAGTGTTTTGTTTTTTTAATTTTAAAATAAAAATTTTGGAAGAAGTCAGTTTAAAAATACAGTGGTGCCTCGTATAACATACTTAATCTGTTCCAGGTGCACGTCCGTTAAGTGAAAAGTCTGTTGTACGAAATGCATTTTCCCATAGAAATACATGTTAAACACATGTAATTTGTTTCACAGCATAAAATAACCATACCATAAACAAATGAAAATGTAGCAGTCACCAATTATGCTGGTAGTCAGATGTTGTGAGGAGGTGGAGGAACACTTTTTTCACACATTCATACAGATAGACTTTTTACACATGGTAGAAGGTCTCTTTTTATTGTTTTTTAATCAGAGTCAGATTTAGAAGAGGCTACCAGAGCTTGCAGGGTCAATTCCTCTTATTCCATCCTTTGTTTTTTCCTTGCTGGCTTCTTGAAAAACATGTCCAAGGTGGTCTGTTTCTCTCTCTTCTTCAACACCTGTCAGAAATGACGGGCAAGGGTGTCATTGTAGAGATCATTGATCCTGTTGGCCTCAGCTCTGTTTGGATAATGAGTGTTGGTAAACTTCTGAACCTCTCCCCATTTGACAAGGAAGTTTTTGTCAACTTTCACTCCTTCTGATGATTTCTTGCTTTGTTTCAATTGAAATCACCTTTCTGTTTTTTAGAAGCCATGATTTGCACAACACTTGAATAAATGTAAATACCCCCTGCACTGAGGTGATGTACTGTAGTATGTAATAAACAAGAGAGCAAGCCAAATCCCAACGGGAGCTCTGTACTTCAGATATACTAATAATATATTCTAATAATACGAATATACAGTATTATAAAAATAGCAGATTGTCATTGGCAAACGAGTGGAAACATCATTCGCACTTGTTTGCAGAAAGTCCGTTGTTCGAGGCATACGTTATATGAGGCACCACTGTATTATACATTGAGATCATTGTGATTGCTGTCACTTAAGATCAATGATAAGCTAAATAAAAGCTTAATTACTGGAAAATTGTTTTGAAAATTAGAAGACTGTAAACTAAAACACATGTAGCTTGATTTTACATAAATTTTTTTTTGATTAAAAATTATACACAACAAATGAAACCCAATATTAAGCAAATACACATCCACAACTGCCGTAAATGATCGGGCTAAATTTGGAAATAATGATTATAAATTAGAAATTAATTTGGATTAAAATTTAAATGATGATGATAGAAATGATAAAACACAAATACCATATTTTATATTGTGGACATTTGTATGAATACATGCAAACACATAAATGTACCTATGCACATATACATATACGAGGGTATCCCAAAAGTAAGGTCTCTTATTTTTTAGAAATATAAAGAAATGTTTAAAATGACATAAACATTATTGAAAATAAAGTTTGAACATTTATCTATTTTTCTACATAATCACAATTTTGATTGATACACTTTTGTAGGTGCTCTGGCAGTTTTTGTATGCACATATCATATCAGCTCACCACTATGTCATTGAGGAAGTGTTGAACCTCATCTTTCTCCTCGTTGTTGAGGAAGCCATGAAGTCGACCAACAATACTTCCTTTTTGATCCCAAAACACAGTTGCTATGGCTTTACTGGCAGACTGTTTGTTTGAATTTTAGCAGCTTGGGCAAAGAGGAACGTTGGCACTCACATAATTATTGTTTGGTCTCAGGTGTGAAGTGGAATGCGCAGATTTCATCACCCGTGACAATCAAATCTAAAAAGTTGTTCTTTTCATCTGCATAACAGCAAAGAAATTCTTGGAAGAGTTAACTCATTGCTTTTGATGGTCTTCTGTAAGCATTTGCGGGACCCATCTTGCATACACCTTCCAATATTGCAACTTTTTTGTTAAAATCCTATGAATGTTTCATTGGGAAACCCCAGGAACCAAAATGCAGAGATCATCCAGAGTGATCCTCTGATCTTCATGCGTAGTTTACTCAATCTTCATGACTGTCTTGTCAGAAATTGACTGCTTCTTTCTTTGTCATGAATTTCAGTACAATCAGCTGCAAACTCCTTACACCACTTGTGGATGTTTTTGACTTCCATGCATGACTTGCCATAAACTTCTGTCAATTGGAGTTGAATTTCAATCAGTTTAACACCTTTTGTATTCAAAAGCCAAATAACTGCATGAACTTTGCACTTGGCAGTAGTGCCAAGCGGGCACTTCATTACAAACGGCTGCCAAATCAAGATTGAGTGTCCTGGCAAGGTGCATGCAGGTGTGTTTGGGAATGGGGAAACAACAAACACAGCAGTGTTGCCAACAGCTGCACAAACAGTTTCCAGCACTTTGGAGACTTTACTTTTAGGATTACCCTCATATATACAGATTTTTTGTTAAAATATTTGTTTTATTAAAAGCAAATATATAAACTAAAACAACCACTTCACACCTAAGCGATAATTCCAGCAAACAAACACTAAAAGGTTCAAACGTTTATATATAAATTTTTAAGAAGAACATTAATAATAAAAACATTAAAAAGTTGTTGCATATTAAGAATTTGTGTTTATTTAAATAAATTATTTTTATGAAATAATAAAAATGAAAATTAAATGTTTTGTTTGTTTTTTAAAGGCAAGTCAGAAAAGAAAGCAGTTCAGACTCTCTTGCAGCTTTTACTTTAGCTGATGAGCCTGTTTATTTGGAAGTTTGCTGTACTAATCAGGTATGACATTTAGAGTAAACAGGAAAACTTAAAACAGTACAATAAAAAAAAAATACACTGGTTCCTTGTACTTTGAATTTAATTTGTTCCATGAGGCCATTTGAACTCTAAATTGTTTGAAGTCTGAATCAATTTTTCCAATTAGAAATAATGGAAAGTGAATTAATCTGTTCCCAGACCCTAAATAATAATCATTTTGATAAATGTAAACAGCTAATACACATAATTTAAGATAAAAATAATACAATTAAATAATCTGAATAATAAATTAAAACATGAAAACAAAAATAAAATACATAAATACTGTATAATAAAATGAAAATTGCATTTAATGCACCATAGTATGAGGCATGGTGATGTCCCATTTCTTGAGGTTACTACACAGCTTGTCTTTTTCACAAATAATCTTGGAGATGATATCACCAGCCAATTGCTTCTCATTTATTGAAACTAGAAGTTTTTCTTCTCAATAACATGCAATCTTTTGGAAGTCAATGTTGTCACACCTTTAGCCACATTTGCTGCTTTTATTGCTTTCTTGTTCTTAAGAATGGTACACATTATCAATTTTAGTATCTTGAACATGACCACCAGATCTGCCACATATGGACTGCTAATACTTCACAATAAGTTAAGTTAATAAGTTAACAATCTTCCTTTTAAGTTTTATTGCTCCCATACTCTTCTTAAGTGCCATGGTTAATTCTTTAAGCACTAAAATTTTTGTTTTTACTATGTATTTGTAGACTGAATAGTTTTTAACTTAAGGATATACAGTGGAACCACGGTATACGACCTTAATCCGTTCCTGGTGTTTGGACTTATACCGAATAGGACGTATACCAAACCAACCTTTTCCATAAGAAGTAATGTAAAAATGATTAATCTATTTTCATGTAAAAAGATTGGCTGGCTTTAAACATTGCTTTCCTCGCTAGTTTCTGCTTGATTTTACATGAGATCAGCATGTATCCTTTTAACTTTCTCGCAAATAATTTCTTTCGATACGCTGTCGCCGGCACACTGTTTTTCAGTTATCCAAAGCAAAAGCAATTTCTCGACATGATCTAATGTCTTCGATCTCTGTTTAGAAATTGATTTAACCCCTTTCGCAACGTTAGCAAATTTTATAATGTCTTTATTTTTCACGATTGTCGATATCGTCGTCTCGGAATACGGAATGAAACAGTTAAATCTTGTTAAATCTCGAACACGCGTGCCACCTTCATATTTCTCAACAATCTCTTTTATCAGTTCCGTTGTGATTCTTGTCATTTTTTTATTTTTCTGTTGCCCTTTTGCAATTCATGATTAATAAAAATAATAAAATGTTACTTACAAATTAAAATCAGAAGACATTTAAAAAAGTTATAGCTTAAACCATAGCACCGCAAACGTCTAGTCTAGTGTAGTACACCGATAGTGCTACTTGTTCATAGATGGCGCGTATAATTGAATTAAGTCATATACCCGAACAAAAGTCGTATACCGAGCAAAATTTGTTTCGTCCAAACAGGACGTATTCCGAATTGGATGTATTCTAAAGCAGACGTATACCGAGGTTCCACTGTACTTTAGTGGGGACATATGGTTTGGTTTCTCACCAGTTATGGAACAGTTCAAATATATTATCAGAGGTTGCCATTTGTCAAGTTTTGTGATATTTTGTTCCTATTTTTGTCAATTTTTAAAAAATTAACTTGATTTTAAATCTTTTGTAAATACAGTAGAGCCTCGATTATCCGACCCCCGGTTAACCGACCGTCCTAGTCGGCAAATTTCAAATGTCCGCTAATGATGTGGCGCTACAATATTTGGCTATGTCTTGGCTACTTTAATATTATTTTTACGTGTTTTAGCTGGCAACACTGGATTAACCATGAAAGGGAGCCAGTATTTAAACGAGGCTTAATTTTCTAATTTTTAACGATACAATAGCGACGATTATTATTTAAAAAAAAAATTGATAGGCTTAATATGGAGGAAAATTCAAGTGAAGTAGGTTAATAGCGATATACTAATATACTAATTACATGGGATATAATAATATACTACACTAATAATGGATTTTTTCATACTTTTCGGTTATTTGACCAACCCCAGTCCCAATTGAGTTGGATAATTGAGGCTCTACTGTAATGAGAAATGCTCATTCTTTGCTTTATATATGAAATAAATTATATATTAGTAACTCATCTTCTAGAAATAGCAAACTATGTATCTACTATGTCAAGAATTTATTTACAATTTTATTGACTTTAGAGAGTATCAGGTGTTGTGTTCAACTATAGGTCTTTGTTTCTTAGTGAGCTGGATATTCTGTTGTGTGGTGATTCTTTGTGCTTTTACATTTTATCGTTATTATATTATAAATTTAATATTAATTCCAACATTGTTGTCGAATTTATGAAAATGATGAAGCTATTGAAAAAATTATATATAAAAGTGATACGGATGAGGAAATTGGCAATGTAAATGACAGCAATGGTGATTTATTATTTGAGAATGAAGATGAAGATATAATGAAATCAAGTATATCCGACGAAGATGATCTAGATTTGCAATCAGAATCAGATTGTACATCGGTTGATGTCACTAAACTGTCTTGGACAACACAGATAGACAATTCCAAGTTTGTTATACATAAATTCTGGTCCAAATCATGATCTTTCTCTGGGCTCATGTTATTTGTATTTTAAATTATTTATCACTGAAATATTAGAGATTATAAAGGAAAATACAAATATGCAGAATACGCCGAATACATTGCCCGAACTATCGGATATTATGTTAAATTATGGATACCTATTGCAGGTATATCTGAAATATGGGCATTTATTTCAATTATATTTTTAATGGGGATAAATAAGTTACCTGCTATGTATATGTATTGGTCTAGTCATCCTGGACTCAGAAATAATATGATAAAAAGGATACTGACACGTGATCATTTCTGTTGGATAATAAACTATTTACATTTATTGAATAGAGAAGAGGAATTTAGTTGGAATGATCCTTACTATTATTTAGTGCAGAAAGTAGACCCATTCATGTTGATGTTGAAAAAACTGTCAAGCATGTATGACTCTTTTCTATGATATATCAATTGATGAGGCATTACTAAAATATAAAGATTGTGTTGGAATTGTGCAATATATGCCTTAAAACCAGCTAAACGTGGCCTAAAAATGTGGATGCTATGTGGTTTGAATAATGGTTACATGTACAATTTTGACATATATTGTGGAAAAAATGAGAAAATTCCTAGAAGTGAAAAGGGGCTCACATATGATGTTATGCATTTAAGAAAAGTTTTGCATAACCAATATCACCACTTGTATTTTGACTGAATTTTTACCAGCATACCGCTGTTGCTTGATTTGCTAAAGAAAAATATTGTGTGGGGGGCACAATACTAGTAAATAAAAAGTATCTACTGCCTGGTCTGAAAACTTTGAAAACAAACAAATGCGATATCATTGTTCAGCAGTGTGTTGAAAAAAGAAGTTTGCTGTGTTTGACTTGGCACAACAAAAAACAAATTAATATAGCATCAACAAATGAAAAAATGATGATAGTGAACACTAAAAGACAAACTGGAGCAACAATCAATGAGGTACAATGTCCACTCATATTTTCAAATTATAATAAAAATATGGGAGGTGTGGACTTAGCAGATCAAAATTGAAAATATTATTTAATAACAAGAAAATTTCAAATGGTGGTTCTACTTATTTTAGTTTTATCTGGATACTGCTATACAAAACAGTTACGTTTTATATAAATTAACTAACAATCCAGCAAATAAACAGTTTGTAACACCAATCCAATTTAGAGAAAATCTTATAGACAATCTTTCAAAAAATTTTTCTAGTAGAAAAATATGATGTATCCAAGAATTCTCAACAAGAAGAGCCTATCATTGACCCAAATTGTCAACCTAATCAATACAGCAGGACTAGATGTAGATGAACAGGATATTGAGGAGTTACTGCAGTTTTCTGGGGAGAGCCTTACCAACGACCTTCAAGAACTGGCAGAACAAGGAATTCATGTAGAAGTGGAAAATAGTGATTCTGAAAACGAAGTACCCAAAGAATTTCTCTACAGATTTCCTTAGTAAAAGTTTGGTTACGATAACTGAAATCATTGATCAGATTGTAGTGAATGATCCAGATTTTGAAAGGAGTGCAAAAGCAAGACAATGCATTTTGGATAAGATCTTCTGCTACTGACATTTGCTTAAAGAAAAAAAAACAACAAATGAAATTACACGACTTTATCGCAAAAAATTTACCAACCGTAAATTGGTTTCGTGTGCGTAATTTTTTAAGTTGGTGTGGTGAGAAGTTATTTAAAAAATAAGAATTTCAGAAGAGATAGGACCTTCATCACAAAAAATGAACTTTATATTTTTGTGTGCATATATTTGTGTATTATTTAACATATATTATTATGCAAATTAATATAAAAGTAACTTAAAATTAAAGTAAAATCTGTTTATTTTTGGTTGCGTGTTTCCTTATCCCTATTTACTGTGTTAAAACAACCTCGTTTAAAGCTGTTTAGTTTAGCACTTTGTCGTCTAGAAACGTATCTCCCATGTTAAGCGGGGTCTTACTGTACTTAAAGGAAGATTAAAAAGTTAAATGTAATTATTTTCAGTGATAAATTACAAATCTTGTACATAACTTTACAGAAATATTACATATATTTTAAGATAAAATGAGTTTTAAATATGGGTTATCAAGCAAGTCCTGTTATATTTGACATAGATGTAATTTTTCCAAAAAAATTTAGTTTTTGTTTTTCTCTCTTTATATTGTAGATTTTAAATTTGAAAATAAAATATTTAATGAATCTAAACCTAAGTATTATGATTTCCAATTAAGGTAATTGTTTTCATTTACAAACATTATTATTATTCAGTTAACACTGTGATTAAAACTTGGACATTTTGTTACACACTTTTGTTTTAACAAGACAAGCTACCCATCACTTACTCTTCTAACATGGATTTGAAGGCAGGTGTGTGTCACAGTGATTCTTAATGTGAGAGCATTTAAATTTATCACAATAATCACTGGACACAATAATATCCAGTGATAGATGTCCAGAGATAAATGTTCAGTGATAGATATCTAAAAGTTATATTAACAAAACTGTAAACACTTCTTGTTTAGTTATAACATCCTATATATATATTATTGTTATAAAATTATATATGCTGATACATTATATATATATATATATATATATAATGTATCAGCATTTATTGCAAAAAATTTACCACACCATAAATTGGTATCTTAAAATATATGTAATATTTCTGTAAAGTTGTGTGCAAGATTTGTAATTTATCACTGAAAATAATTATCATTTAACTTCTTAATCTTCCTTTAAGTACAGTAAAACCCTGCTTAATATGGGAGATACGTTCCTATTAAATAAATATTTCAATATAAAGTGTGTTAAAAAATGGTATATAAATAGAAGAAATATTAATATTTAAAAAGTGTAAAATTACTGATTTAGAAACATTTAAACTATTTTTCTAATTAAAGTGTTTTGGATTTCAAACATATGTTTAATGTCACAGTAGTGTCATTAAATTTAGGACACGAATCATCATGTCCTAAATTTTGTTGTAATTACAGTACAGTGTCGTTTATTCGAATCAATTGGGGACTGGGGTTGTTCGGATAACCGATTATGTACGAAAAAAATATATTAACCTATCCTGTGCTGACATTTTTCTCTGTTGCGTATCACTTTGCTTTGAATTTTCGTCGATGTTAAGCCTAACGTAAACTTTTTAAAATAATAATCGTGGCTATTGTATCGTTAAAAGTTATTTCTTTATTTTGTACAAACAAAATAAATATATTGAAAAATATAAAAACAATAAAAAAATTATACTTCAGAAGTTAATTAAGTATCAAAAACGTAAAATATTTGAGTAGCCCNAATAGATCTGATTAGTTTGTTATGAAGTTTTAAGAGAATACAATGATCTGAGATGCAGTTCTGTTTTGTTCATCTAATGCAATTTGTGATTTAGATTTTGTTTTTCAAAACTCATTAACCATCACATTAAATTTTATTATATAAATATGTACTAAATGCTTCACATTGATTTTTCCCAATGTTATTTAAGTTAAAATGCTACATGAATGGTAACATAATGTGTGTCATCTGCTAGTCTAAAATATTCAAAACAGATACCCAACCCTGTCTGAAAGATCACCATAAGATAGCAAGAGTTTAATGGGCAAAGACAAAGATGAGTTGGACAGCTAAGTGATGAGAAATTGTTTTCAGTGACAAAAAATGTTCAACTTGGATGGCCCGGATGGGTATCAACACTACTGCCACATCATCAGAAAAGAAAAGCAAGATTATTTTAAATATATCCAAGGCCTGGGTCAGTAATAATTTGGAAAATTTGAAATTGTCTTCTAAATCAGTGGATGAATGCAACAGTATATCAGAAAGAGCCAACAGACCAACAGAACATATCCTTCCAATTGGCAAAAAATTGAAAGAGCAAAATGCAAATTATGACATGATGATGTTCCCATACATACTGCTTTAAGTGATGTCTGAAGCAAACAGTGGTTTGCATTGAACAACATCCATATAATTGACTAACCAGCACTCTCTCCTGACATAAACCCTATTAAAAATTTATAAGGCATCAAAATGATAGACAGTTCTAAACAGTTGGAGAGTTGAAATTAGCCATCACAAGAGAATGGCAGAAAATCAGTGTTAAAAGCCTGCAAAATTTAATTATTTCAATGCCAAAAAGTATATTTGCAATTATTTCCAAATACAGAAAATCAATAAATGTATAAATATTTTTTTCATTTACAATTCAATGAATAAATAGAAGGTGACATAATTTTGCACCACCACCTTGAAATGGCTGTTTTTGCATAATTAATGTTTGGATTAATCAATTAAGATAACATTTGGTGTAAGTCAGAAGATAATATTAAACAATTATGTAAAATTTTGTCCATCCACTCTAAATAATCCAAAAGATTTTTTTCAAAAATTACACTGGCTTGTAATTCTGTACCACACTGTATATAAAAACAGACAAAACACTTAAACCAGAATATATTATCTCAAATTAGCCCTTTTACAGTTTCATCTGCTTATAACAGACATCTTCAGGTATATATAATGCAGAACTGAACAGACAAATTAAAATCAAATATGCTTTTATGAACAAATTAAAAATTCAATTTGAGGAACTGAATTTGTAATTTATTTGTAATTTGAGGCAATATATGCTGGTTTAAGTGTATTTTCTGTGTTTAAGTGGTATATTCCAGTTTTAGAAGAGTAACTGATATATATAAAAGGTATTTAATGCTTATAACAGGAATTGCCAATGCTGATACAAGTTAGGAGATTAATTATTTTGTATGCTAAAAAGCACCATATTTTAAATACCTTTGAACTTTTCTCCTTGAAAGTGCATGCTATAGACAAACTATAAACTGACTCTAAGACCCTGGTTAACCTACCCCTTTACATGCTATTTCATTATAGCAAGTTTGCCAACAACACTGAGAAATATTAAATACGAAACCTGCTACTGGTGTAATTTTGCATGAAAAAAGAGCATCAAGCAGACCTTCGGCATGGGCGGTACACCACGGCTCTAACCACCTTTGCATCCGATCCCAATATAGAACCGGAGTTCGACAAAGCTGACATCATCGACACTGCGCCCCACCTGGAACATATAAAATGGCAGGAAGCTATATCCATCTGCAAGGCTAACCACCTGACCACATGTATAAACCGGAAAGATGAGATTAATTTTTCTATAGCGTGGCAGGCCCTCATAAACGACGATCTATAAATATCAACATCAGCGCACGAGTGTGCATGACCGTCGTAATGATTTTTCGTTATGCGAGTTTTGGATTTTTTGTTTAAACATCTGCGTTCTATTTTTAGATTCGGTTTTTGTTTAAATATCTACGTTCCATTTTTCGAAGTGTTCCGTCGGAATTTTTTATCTACCTGAAGAAGAGCTATCTCGACAGCTCAAACGTTTGTGAAAGGAAGATTTTGAAAAGAAGTAGAAAGTCTTCTTCACTTTCAAGCCTTGACAAAAAAAAATGATTTGACAAGCAGCTATTATTAAAAATATTACTGCAAACCAAATTCTGCTTTAAAATGGACCCTTGGAAGAGTGCTTCATTTATCTTCTCATCTATATATATAATTGAGATGGGTTGATAATAATAAGTGCAGAGCCCAAAGGTTAAGACCTTTGGGCTCTGCAACTAGTTTGTGACACCTTTGTAAAAATATTTGGTAGTTATTTGTCAGTGGCTTACCATGAGATTTGATGATTGGAAAGTTGTTTTCCATAAAAGTTTTAAACAAATACTAGAAATTACAAAAATAAACAGTTGAAAGTTGAAAATTTGGTACATAGTTAGAGTACATGATGAGAATGTACACTAAGAAGGAATTTTTGGAAATTCCTTATAGGGGGAAGGGTTAAGGATTATCCTGAAGAACTCTGCTTCTACTGTTCTATTTTAGATGCAGTTTTTTGCATTTTTACAGAAAATAAAACATATTTTTAGACCCAATTAAAAATTCTCTGATTAGCCTCAGAAGAGGGAGGACCCCTGGTGAAAACAGATAAGATCGACTATATAACTATAAAGGTTCTTACGCAAGGGTTTATCACACCAAATGATCAATCTAACACATTTTTAAAACTCTTTATTTCTCCACTGTACACAATTTAAAGAATTTTTAAAATGTGTTAGATTGGGCACTCAATATGATAAACTCTTACATACCTTTGTAAATATAAATCAAATACTATAATTTAATATAGTAGAGGGTTAGAAGTATGAAATAAACTAATAATCTTAATCTTTGCTGTTGTTATTTTTTGCCCAAGCAGGGTTCATCTGCTAGTCTAAAATATTCAAAACAGATACCCAACCCTGTCTGAAAGATCACCATAAGATAGCAAGAGTTTAATGGGCAAAGACAAAGATGAGTTGGACAGCTAAGTGATGAGAAATTGTTTTCAGTGACAAAAAATGTTCAACTTGGATGGCCCGGATGGGTATCAACACTACTGCCACATCATCAGAAAAGAAAAGCAAGATTATTTTAAATATATCCAAGGCCTGGGTCAGTAATAATTTGGAAAATTTGAAATTGTCTTCTAAATCAGTGGATGAATGCAACAGCATATCAGAAAGAGCCAACAGACCAACAGAACATATCCTTCCNGAAATTACATTTTTATAAATATTCAAATTATGCCAATTTCTTTAAAATTTAATTTAAAAGATAGGAAAATTTTTGCTCAGCTGATAGCCCTTTCAGATCAGCTAGCTACTTTGATTAGGCTATTTGATATTAACTCAAGATCTAATAAATCAGCAAGTACATTTTTTAAGTGTAAATTTAAATTTCTCAAGAAACATCATGATTTTTTTGTGAATGAAATTAATTTATTTTGTTAATATGGTTAATAATTGTTTTTGACATCTTGAGTACAAAGATATAAAATTTATAGCAATATTAATTAATTGTGACAGCTGCATTTTCTTCTCAATACATATAAAATGGTACCAAATTTAACAACAATAAAGACAACAAAAATTTGCATCAAAATCCAATAAACATTTATTAAAATATTTTATGTTATAAAAANACCATTTTGGTCAAATACCTGTTGTCATCGTTTCTGATAGTAGCATGATTTCACATTATAAAAGTTTTGATTGTTGCTTACAAAAAACTGATCCAAGTGATTTTTGACATTGTCATTTCAAGTAAATGTCTTACAGTTAAAAAAAATTTGTACAAGATTGGAACAAGTAATAATCTGAGTATGCTTGATCTAGCAAATATGGTTGGTGTGATAGCATGTTCCATCTAAGTTATAACAGTTTCTGTTACCAAACTTGTGTGAAATTTGACATTATCGTGGTAAAACACTACACCTGTTTTGTTGATCAATGCTGACCACACTTTCTGTTTGATGATATTACTCAATTTGTTTACTCAATGGCAGTACACTTTTGAATCAATTGTTAAATTGGTAATAGCTCCAAAAAAAATTTCCTTAAAATCTCACCAAAGAGAGCATCTCTTTTTAAGAACATGTGGAACCCATATATCAAGCTTTGAAACGAAACCAATTTGTTTCAAGTAATCATAAACAGCTCAGTTTGACAAATTTAATCTCTTAGTGATTTCACGTGTTGTTATTTGGCAGTTTGCTTCAATCAGTACTTTTATTTTGTTTTCATTGGCTTCAACTGGCCATCCAGAACGTGGTGCATCTTCAATATTGAAATTGCCAGAATGAAATTTTGTAAACCAGTTTTGGCACTATCTTTCTCTTAACACATCATCTCCATACACGTCACACAATTTTTTTCTTGCTTGAATTTTTTCAGTAATAAAAGAGAAAAATATGCCAAAAATGTTGCTTTCGATCTTCCATATTTGATGGAACACAAAAAATAAGCAATTGCACGAAATCAAACAAAATTTTTTACAAATAAGCCTTAAAGTGCTAGCTGTCAAAATATATAATGATAATACAAATTAGAATGAAAATGGCAGGAAAAATACAATTAATCCGTCTAGTAGTAAAAAAACGAAATTACTTTCCGAACAACCCAATATTTTTTGCTGTCAAGGAACAACTATGACTAAAGAATTACATGCTAAGATTTCTGGAATAAAATTTATCTTGTTGTTTATATAAAATATCCAAAAGTTGCTAATACAAAATAGTTTCTCTATTATAATAAACATTTATTTATCGTGACATCGTCACAATGCCAGGCTGCAACTTCTAAAAAAAATTTAATTGAAAGATACACTTTTCATACCTGGTCTCTATTTTCATCTATCTAACTCTGTTCTCAAGATTATGAATGATTGATGACAATGGGAATCTATAGATCTGCAATTGCAGCCCAATAACATTAAATTGAAAACTGTCAATATTGTACTGTGCAGTCAGTATTATTATTTGATTAGAAGTCCTGAAACATCTCCCATATTTACTGGCTTTAGTCCAAAGCAATTTTTCAACTTCTATTTTTAAAGAAAGCTCTGAAAGAAAGGTGCTTTGCATCTGATGAGGTATGTGAAGCCACAATGACAATTTTTTGATAGCTATTCAACAAATTCCAGAAAGCATGTGATGTGTGGGTATAGCAAATAATGTATTGATTATAATTCTTATATTTAGTTTTTAGAAAGAATATACATTAATGTGATAATTTGAAAAATGTAAAAATCTAATAAATATATTTTCTGACATAAAATACTGGCACACACAAACTGGAACAATATACTAAACAAACAATTTGACACCTAAATCTAAATGCTAAATTGCCATCTTGGACCCAATACAAAACTGAAAGAGGTTATTGATAGAGAGGACTAGTGAGATAAGCCTTATGGTACCACAGAACAAGTAGATGCAAATCACGTGTAAACAGTCCAGAAAATGCTTACTGTAATGATGATTTTTTTGTATAGAATGCCAAATTTTAAATTTCATCTTTTAGTTTATTTGTTCATTTTATTGCTGGAATTAGCATTTAGGTGTCAAATTATTTGTTTAAATATATTTTCTAATCTTTGTTTACTCACGTGCAATTTTATATTTAGTATTATATTTTTTCTGGATCACTAATATGTAAGACAGAATTATAATGATGATGTGACATCAAATCTGGTGCAACTCTCAAGCCTTATTTTATATTAGTAGTTTTCACTCATGAGTTTGTAATAATATTCACAGCTCACAATATTGCTCTTGCTTATGTTATTATTATAAAGCATAGTGTAAAGCAGCAAACTGGCCATATGTTTAAACACAGTCATTCAGCATAATATACTGAGTTTTCATCAGTTATCATCAGCCATCATCAGCCAAATCCTCAACTGTTCAGATAAAGTGCAAAGTGATAAAGTTATAGTACTTGCATATAGACATTAGTCAATTTTTTGGTCGATTTGCAAAGTAGCTGGCCATGTTAAGAATTTGTCAGTTTCATACATTAATATATCAATAAAACTCAGATCCAGTGTTTTTATTATTTATTAAGATTAAATATTTATTAAACCACTTTAAGAAAAGATTTCTTTTAGATCAAAGTTTTGTAATTATATATATATATTTTATTCTTATTATTATTATTATTATAATATATTATTATCATACTCTAGTTTACTTTTATTAAATATTAATTTTAGAATTGATTTAATTTTTTACAGAAAATGCAAAACTCCATTGAAACCACTTTATACAGTTCAGATAGCTTCTGAAGAAGGAAAAAATTCAAGTACGAAAAAAAAATCTCTTCCAATATTAACAGCTCGAATATGTCCAGAGACTAGTAATGAAATTCTTATTGCCTATGGAAATTTATTGAGACCTAAATTTGAAAAAATTGTAGGCATATTTTGATTATTTAATTTTATTAAAAATAATTTTTTATTTTGTACTATTTAAATTTTATTATTTTGATAAGCATATAAATTATTTTAATCTAAATATTTTCATAATCTTTCTTATTCAGAGAACATCTAAGTGAAACATACATTCTGGAAGACTGTAGATAAGAAAACATTAATCCATTAAAATTTGACCATTTTAATCCAAAAAATTGTTTTTATTGAATATCCTATCTTTAATTAATTTTAGAAAAATATGTTACTCTCATATTCTTAAAACTAAAAGAATTATGGGATATCTAAATATGATGAATTTTTTGCAGACTTAAATTTAAAATGCACATGAATATTTAGATACTAGGAACTAATGGGTTAAAATTCTTATTAGTTCCAGATAGCTTTTACCAATATTATACAAAATACCATCTGTTGAAATTTACAAATATTTAAAACATATTTTTATAACTTGAATAACAAGTTATAATTAAATATTTTTTCTTTATTTGAAAGTTAAAACAGATTTCTTCAAATGTAAGCCAAATTATAATGTCATTAAAGTTATCTGTCAATACAGTAATAGTTTTATGATTGTTAAATTTTATAGTATTTTTTATATTTATTGAATTGATTAATTTAATTTAATTTTTATTTAGAAATTAACAGAATGCAACACTCATACAGTTTTAATAAGAGAATTTTCAAATAATTCATGTAATGAGGAGAAAGGAATAGACATGGTATGGTTTAAATTTTTATAAAATTTATTTTTACATTTAAAATTTCAGTTATTAAAAAACTAGATTTTTGGCATTATTTTAATTATCTAATTTAAATTGAGTTGTTCGGAAAGTAATTTCGTTGTTTTCTTATATAAATATTTTATTGAATTATATATTGACCATTTTGGTCCAATACCTGTTGCCATCTGTCTGGTAGTAGCATGATTTCACATTCATAAATGTTTTGATCCTTGGTTACAAAAACTGATCAAAGTGATTTTTGACATCATCATTTGAAGTAAATGTTTTACCATTTAAAAAATTTTGTAAAGACTGAAACAAGTAATATTCTGAGGGTGCCAGATCTGGCAAATATGGTGTGTGTGGTAGCACACCTCATCTAAGCTGTAACAGTTTTTGACAAGTTATGAAACTTGTGTGAGGTCTGGCATTATCATGGTGAAACACTACACCTTTTCTGTTGATCAATTTTGGCCTTTTCTGTTTGATGGTATCACTCAATTTGTCCAGTTAACAACAGTACACTTTTGAATCAATTGTGGAATTCTCTGGTAGAAGCTCAAAAAAAACTTTCGTTAAATCTAACAAAACAGAGAGCATCACTTTTTTTTTGGTGACTATTGGCTTTCAAAGTGCTTTGAGCTGGCTCATTTCTTCTATTCCATGATTGCTTGTATTTGACATTGTTATAAACAATCCATTTTTCATCACCAGTTATGATTCACTTCAAAATGGATCATTTTCCTGATGTTTGAGAAGCAAATCACAGATGTCAATGTAATGGTGCAAATCTCTTTCTTTAAGAATATGTGGAACCCATATATTGAGCTTTGAAACGAAACCAAGTCATTTCAAGTGATCATAAGCAGTTGAATGTGACAAATTGAATCTCTTAGCAATTTTTCGTATTGTTATTCAGTGGTTTGCTTCAATCAATATCTTTATACCTTTATTTTGTCTTCATCAGCTTTAACTGGCTTTCCAGAATGTGGTGCATCTTCAATATCGAAATTTCTGGAATGAAATTTTGTGAACCTATTTTGGCATTACCATTCTATCAACACATTATCTCCATACATGTCATACAATTTTTTTCTTGCTTGAACAGCATTTTTATCTTTTCAGTAATAAAAAAGCTAAATATGGCAAAAATGCTGCTTTTGATTTTCCATATTTGATGGGACGTAAAGAAAAAAGATTGCAAATGTGAGCCTGTAGATTTTTATGGACCTCTAAAAAATCTAAATTTTCTGTTAATTGTAAATATCTTCAGAAAAAACCCGAAGAATTTGAACTAGATCGGATTTCACCAATTGTATAACAACTAGCTGGGAAAGTTTACACTTAGGTGTGAAGAGTGCACCATCATCATCAACAAAAGTCGATCACATGTCAGCTCTCTCACGAAAAGATATAAAAGGGGAGATCACCAGAAGCTCAGGGCGTCCGCACAAGGTTTTCATTCTTGGTACTTGTGTTCATTGATCTCCATGCCAAGGACTGTGATCCCGTTGGAGAATACACCGAAGACACCACACCCTTCCATACAGATGACGTTTGCCAACTCTCCCTTCCACTGAGAGGTATTTAGGGGATTTAAATTTTGAAAAGCGCTCTCTCTCGAACTAGAAATTAGGTCAGTAACATAGCTACGAAAGTAGTTGCCATATTCTGTAAATATTTTAATATAACTGCATTTAACCTTAGTAGTAAGTTACCTCCTGTAGCTTAGATTTAGTTATTCAATAAATGCTCGTTTATTTTGTTGAATCTGTCTCTTGTCATTTAAGGACACCTGCCAGCTTTCTCACCCCTCCCCACTCGATTTGCCCTCCTAGCCATCCAACCAACTCTGAGATCGGGGTTTTTTAACCCGTGCAGAGTAAGTAGTCATTTGGGGATTAACCAGTGACCCACTGCTAATCTCACACAAAGAATCAAACAAAATTTTTTACAAAAGCCTTGAAACGTCAGCTGTCAAGATATAATGACAATACAATTTAGAATGAAATTGATGGGTAAAAATACAACTAATCCCTCTGAAGGTAAAAAACGACATTACTTTCCAAACAACCCAATACTATTTATAAATTAGAATATGACTACTGTTGGTAGTAAAAAATACAATAGAATAATTAATTTATAAATGATTTGGAATGTACTAATGTAATTTTATTTTTCTTCATTATTCAGTAAAGTTTCTTTGTCATGAAAATGTGTTATAATTTTGATTATTTCAGTTTTTCCTTAAAAATATTTTTACTAATGTTTATAATAATTTTAAAACATTTATATAAAAATTTTTTTTGTAATTTGTGAAGAAATGTTTTTAATGTATGAAAAATAACCAAAATGAAATAAAAATTAATGTTTAAGTTGAATTATTTATGCAGCATAAAATCTATATATAAATTGAAAGAGAATTTCAGTTTTTCTGACTTAGTTTGAATAAATAGTTGAGGCTAAAAATAAGGTTCAGTATCAAATTAAAGCTCTTACTCTGTAGACTTTGCTGCTGAAGAGAAATTTGAGAAAAGTACAATGGTTCAGGCATGGCAGACTGGCAAAGAAAGATACAATGTCAAATTTTCAAGGCAAATATGTTGGGTGAATGTAAAACCTGTTAGGACCCACACTTTGGGAACTGTGGATATAGATTATAAAGGAAGAAGTAAATAATTTCAACCAAAAGAGAAAAATCATGACATGACCAACAGCATAGCAATAACTAATACTTTCATCCTCAACAAAAGCATAAAGGAATTGGTAATAAAGAAATGATCTCTTCCTACAAAATAATTATTTCAAATAAAAAGTACAGATGTGTGTTTTTTATTATTACTCTAAGCCAGCAAACATAATTAAAAGCATAATAATTGAGCAAGACAATGCTTGATTTCCATATGCCATTCTCCCACCTAAAACAAATTTGAACACCTATACTATTGGGAAGCAGAATGAACCAATCTCCACTACTAAAGCCCTAGCCTGCAAGGTAAAACAGTATTCAGGTACATAGCAAGAAGAAATTTTCAGAGTTTACAGAGTTAACATTAAATGTTTATAACAATATTGCTTACTGTTATTTTGACTATTATAAGCAGTCAGTTTAGTTAATCTAAATGCTTTTTATTTTTTCTATTTTTTTGAATTATTCTTATATAATTGATAATTTTACTTGGTTACTTGGCAGGAGCTAAAAGTATGGTTCAGATATCAAATTAGATGTTTGGTTGCTAATTAGGCATTAATTGTTAATTAAAATACATTTTGCATTATTTTTTCAATAAATTAGTTTTGTCAATAGTTATGACAGTTCTATCTACCAACTTTTAGCAACAATCTCTGTTTTTATTTTACTATTACTTTATAATGAGACAAAAATGTGAGTCTAACTGTCCAATTCATTACTTAATTGATGGCTTTCTTGACAAATCTACCAATCAAAAGAAGAATAAATTTGAACATATGACTTGCTGTACTGATGATTTTTTTGTACAGAATGCCAAATTTTAAATGAGCTCATTGTATTTTAATTGAATAAAATAATCAAGGTTGACAGATTCCTGTGTTTGTTATTAACTGTAAAATTAATATTGTTCTTTCATATAATTGTAGAATTCTGATAATTTTATAGTAAAAGTAATGCAGCAATAAATTTTTAAGATAAAAATAAAATATTAATTTTCGTTTTGTAATTGTGGTAAGGTGCTTCAATAATTTGCATAATGATATTTTCTCAAAATATCAAATAATAGTACAATATAACATTTATTTTAAAAATTTATGTAGTTTATAAATTTTGCTTTTTTTGTGATTCTAATGTATTGCTGCAGGTATGGAAATAACTGTTGAAAATCTGTTTTTAGTGTTTAATCCATTTAGTTTATAAGAATTATAGAGAAGCTGAACATTTACTAATAAGAATAAATTTTTGAAACCAGATGTAAAGTACATGTTAATACAAATTAAAGGAAATTTGAATTATTTATGAAAATATAATTAAGCAAAAATTGTTAATTGATTTAAAAAAAACTTTATTTGATGATACAGTAGAACCTCGAAAACTCGTCCCTCGATAACTTAGCACTCCGGATAACTGGTCCACACCTTGGCAGGGCGAAAAAATCCTTAGTTAATTAATTTTCATTATAGACAGCTTTATAAAAGTATAAAAGCTCTCATAAAGTATTTTTCTGAGGTCTGTCTTATCAGGTAAATTACTGTACACAGTGTATTCATTAATTTTCATTTTCATGTAGTGGCTCTATGCCTTCATAAAGGACGTACTTTTCCTTTGTTTAAGGGTATTTGGGCAGTTTATTCTCTGTTATATTCTGTACAAGTAAATACTGTACAAGTACAGTACAGTATTTTCTGAGGAAATACT